CGAGCTTGACTCAACCATGAAAATGCTATCCTGTATTATTCCAGCCACCATAAACACATCCCCTAGTATTTGCATTTTGTTGGTGATGTTTTCAGCTTCTCTTTTTAGCTGTCGCCTTTTTGTGTCTGGTCTTCAGCAAGATTTTCTAAGATGTCTAGAATCTGAGTGTATGATTCCAGGATTGTACTTGTTGATACAACATACACTACCCAACTGATTTTAATGCTTGATCATTACCTAAATATACTTTAAAAACTGCCAATCAGTAAGTAGAGGTGGCAAACTGTGTGTACAGTAACTGAACAGTAGGAAAAAAATCAGTTGCTTCTGGACAACAGGCTACGTACTACCTAAGGCATTTGACTGCTAACCAGAAGGCTGATGGTTCAAATCCACCAGCCACTCCTCGGATGGAAGATTGGGCAATCTACTTCTGTAATGATACCATCTTGGAAACCCAAGGAGGGGTTGCTATGAGTCAGATCTGACTCGACGGCAGTGAGGTTTTTTTTTTTTTTTTTTAAACACCATATGATATGATATGATATGATTATGTTCTGAAATTTTCTGTTGCATGTCTTTATAGCAGCCTGACATATTGGCAGTAATGTCATAGGACTGGCCTCTGCACTTAGAAAAATCAAATTTTGCAAACTTCACATAAGTAGTGAACTTCTTGATTTACAATTTCTTCACCAGAATGACTTTCTAAGCCAGTAAATGTGATAAATTACTCGACAGGTTTTCCATCTGTGGAAAATCTGTATCTTAAAATAATACTTAGCTGATCTATGTGAGGAAGATCAGTGGAATATACAGACAGATTGAAATACTGAGCTATACTTATTTCACTGAATATAGTTGATCAAACTTTGTTGTTATTGTTGTTATGTGCTGTTGAGTTGGCCCCGACTCATAGTGACCCCTCCTTGGGTTTCCGAGGTGGTATCGCTATGGAAGTAGAATGCCTAACCTTCCTTCCGAGGAGTGGCTGGTGGGTTTGAACTGCCAGCCTTCTGGTTAGCAGTCAGGTGCCTTAGGCACTACGCTACCAGAGCTCCTAACTTTATCATTTATTAAGTGTATTTATTTTTGATGTGTTGTTTTAGACATATATGATAGGTTGCCGTTTCCTGTGTTACCATGCTTTGAGAAGTGACCTGTTAGAAATGGATCAAAATGAGGAACAAGTTGAAGTAAACAAAAAAATTTTCCTTTTTTTGGGGTTCATACACTTCATTTCTTCCTCAGAAAAATAGTCCACATTCAGTGATTTTTTTTAATGACGGGAACATATTCTACAATGGCTTTCCAGTGCTATAGTTCTTTATTAATTTGTATTTCCTTTCATGAGTTAAGGCAAAAACATATCTTCAATTTAAATATGACAACATATAATCTCTGTGAATTGAGCTGTTTTCATGTTTATCAGTCATATTCAAATTGTGCCAATCACTAAATCCATCTGTAGCAAATCAAGTTAAATGATTTAGGACAAATAGTTTGCAAACAAAACAATATACAGAGCCAGCTGATGGAGACTACCATAGCCGTTCCATTTTATTGTCTTCACCATTACCTTTGCACCCTAGAGATGTATTCTGGCTACAGAAGCTTTTTTGTTTACTGCCCAGAAAATTTCTTTCTTTCTTTTTTTTTTTAATTTTTTTCCTCTTTTCAATTTTTTAAAATTTAATATCTAGAAAACAAATGCCCTTTATTGTATTTTGCCTTTCCCTTCGCCCAAGTTAATATGAGTCTGCCGTCCAGTTAGTGGTTTACCCACCCTTTTCCTGCCACACCTGGTAACCATCAAAGAATATTTTTTTGTGTATAAACCTTTCCTTGAGTTTTTACAGTAGTGGTCTCACAATATTTGTCCTGTTGTGATTGACTAATTTCACTCAGCATAATACCCTCTAGGTTCACTCATGTTATGAGATGTTTCACAGATTCAACATTATTCTTTAACATGATGTAGTATTCCGTTGTGTGTATGTACTATCATTTGTTTATCTGTTCATCTGCTGATGGGCATTTAGGTTGTTTCCATCTTTTTGCTGTTATGAATAGTGTTGTGATGAACGTGGGTGCGCATATGTTATCTGTTCATGCCACAATTCTTATTTCTCTAGGATATATACCTAGTAGTGTATTTCTGGGTCATACAGTATTTCTATTTACAGCTTTTTAAGGACATGCTGAGCCATTTTCCACAGTGGTTGCACCATTTTACAGTAATTTAATAAGTAATCTATAAGACAGATTTTACTTTCCCACCAGGAGTGTATGAGGGTTCTCTTCCCCACACACCTTTGCCACCATTTGTTGTTTCCTAGTTTTTTTGGTGGATGTTCTGGAAGCATAGTGCCTAAGGTACTTGACTGCTAACCAGAAGGCTGGCAGTTCAAACCCACCAGCCACTCCTCAGAAGGAAGGTTGGCCAATCTGCTTCCATAGTGATACTGCCTCGGAAACCCAAGGAGGGGGGTCGCTATAAGTCGAATCCGACTCGAGGGCAGTGAGTTTAGTTCATTTCAGATATAGTTAAAAAGTAACATGATTGAATTCTTAACAGTGGTGGACTTATCTGAGTTGCCTCCCTTTGTACATCATCAGGGACTAATGGTCATATGTCATGTTTCTGTCATGGCAAGGATCATTGCTGGCCCTCCTGGCTGGACTTGCTGGATCAGCAGACATGGATGGACAAGACACTTCTCACAAAATGGTTCAAAGACCTATTTACTAATATAATCTTTCCTTGCCCAGTAACTGTTCATGTTGGAACTAGTTGCTGTTGGGTGAATGTAGCAAGAGTTGGACTTGACAGCCCACCCCCACCTCTTGTTTATTAGAAAGAAATAGTGTACTCCCACAAGACCCTCCAACACAAGGAGTTTCCATCACTTGGGAGGGGACCTTAGGAGACAGATGTCAATGAAGGTGTTGAAGTGGTAGGGGCCTCATAGCTTGAGCAGCCTTGTGCACGGGCAGCCTGGTCACCCTCCGTGAACTTTATTTCCAGCCAGCACATTCTCGTGCTCTAGAATTTGTATCAGTTTCATTTCGTGCCCCACCAGTTCTCTTCCACTTTGTTGCTCTCTTTTCCTTATGTTCTATCTACTTGGAGGGATGATCCTCAACACTAGCATGATAACCATACTGTGCTGCTGGTTACGTTTGTGTGTCAGCTTGGCTGGGCCTGGGTGAGTAGCTGGGCAGCTGGATGTAGTTATTCCCCATGATGAGACTGGCAGTCAACTCCATGGTGGGATCTACCACAAGCAGCTGAGTGGCTGCCTTTGGATATGTGATCTGCTTCCTGTATATAAGCAGAAGCTTAGGAAATGATCTCTAGCTTATGGCACGCTTGGACCCTGCATGTAGCTGTGTTGTTGTTCAGCAGTCTGCCATGCTCTGCCAACCTTGGGACTTAGAGTGGACTTAATGGCCTGCTGTGTGATTTGGTAATACCGGGACAGTGCCTTTTTATTTGTCAACCTTGGGTTTGTCAGCCTTAGCAGCCAGCAGCTGTCTGAGTGAAGAAATATCTCTAGCTTCAGTGGGCTGGGAGCTGGAGGCAGAGCTGAAGCCCAAGGCTGAGGGGGGTCTTTCACCCAGCCCCTAGAGCTTGGCACTTTAAACATGGACTTAAAGCCTCCAAATTGTAAGAATAAACTCCTGTTTGTTAAGGGCATCCCACTTGTGGTATATATTCCTGTCAGAGTGGCACTATGTCACCAGAACAATATCTTACTTTGTTTCTTTTTTTAAAAAAAAAAAAATACTTTTTTTATTATTGTTATTGTGATCTGGGTGACTTACTTTCTTTCTTAGTCAAGGGACTTGAAATAGTGTATTGCTTTCAATTTTTTTTGTTATCTGTCCCATCCCAAGATAAGGAGCCCTGGCGGCACAGTGGTTAAGCATGCTTGGGTGCTAACCAAAAGGTTGGTGGTTCAAATCACCACCAGAGATTCTGAGGGAGAGAGACTTGGTGATCTGCTCCAATGAAGATGGCAGCTTATAAAACCTTATGGGGCAGTTCTTTGTCACATGGGATTGCTATGAATCAGAATCAACTTGAGGTACCTAACAACAGAAGGGCCAAGATAGATAGTGAAATATTTCAAACAAACTCTGTAGGTTTTTATTATGTGGTTTCCACTGAAAATACGAGACCACTTGTAGCAGCAGATGTTTGATTCCAGAGGTAGGTGTTGAGATGAATAGCAAGAATTGTGTGGTCATGATCAAACAACATTTGTTCAATTGGAGTAGCTAAGGGGGAATTTCTCATTCATTTAAACACTGACGCCTCTTCATCCCCTAAGGGGCAAAATATCAGCAATAATGGCATCTCTTTGATAAAATGTAAGAGCTTCTAATAATTTGTTCTTCTGCATGTTCTTTTTCTCTCTAGGAAAAGCCATTGACAAAATCTCTACAACGTGGAGAAGACCCCCAATTTGATCAAGTATGTGATAATTTCATGTATGTTATATACTGGTTTTATTTTAAAATGCACAAAAAGCAAATGTTGGACACTGTGACTATGGCTGTGTTGATGAACATCCTTCAAGAAGATCTGGGTACGTGGTCTAAAGAACTGTGTCTGGTTTATATTTTTTTATTCCTACAGTATTGACAGTTATGCCTAACACTAAATGTTCAGTCAGTATCTGTTGAATTGAACTGGGAAGAGCTGGAATGATGAAAGTAGGCCCTCAATTGATGTGTGTCCAAAATTTTTGCATCCCAGAATTGAAGAAGCTGAGAAAAGATAATTTAAAGGAAATTCCATTAAAAAATATTTGAGAATCTGCAGAATAAGCAGTACTTTGGAATGCTGTCTCCACTACGGTGTGTTCTGCATTCGATTTCTGCACTAGAGTGTATTCATGTTTCCATCCAACATTTTTTTCAATACCTACTATTTACAGATGGAGCCCTGGTGGTGCAGTGTGGTAGTTAAGTGCTCAGATGCTAACTCAAAGGTTGATGGTTCAAACCCAGTGGTGGCTCCTCTGGAGAAAATACCTGACAGTCTGTAAAAATTACAGCCTAGACAGCCCTACAGGGCAATTCTACTCTTGTCATGGATGGTCACTGACTTAGTCTGGGTTCTCTAAAGGAGCAAAACCAGCAAAGGGTATATACACATACACAGAGAAATTTATTTCAAGGAAATGGCTCACATAATTGTGGAAACTGAGAAGTCCCAAATCTTCAGGTCAGTGGACAGGCTGAAGACCTCTGCTGGCTCCTGTGATTTCAAACCAAACCAAACCAAACTCACTGTCATCGAGTCAGATCTGACTCATAGCAACCCTTCCTTGGTTTTCCAGGGCGGTATCACTATGGAAGTAGATTGCCCAACCTTCCTTCTGAGGATGAGGGTTGGCAAATCCCAGATCTTCAGGTCAGGCACCAGGCTGGAGACTTCTGCAGGCTTAGGGCCCAAGAACAGGAGGTCAGGTGACTAGAAGAGTGGTTTTCATTGAAAATACGGGACTGCTTATAGCAGCAGATTTTTGGTCCTAGAAGTATATGTTTAGATTAATAGCAAGAATTATGTGGTCATTATAAAACATGTATACAGTTGGAGTAGCTAAGGGAGAGTTTCTCATTCATTTAAAGGACTGGTGCCTCTTCTTCCCCTAAAGGGCAAAAAATCATAGCAATAATGGCATTTCTTTGATAAAATGTAAGAGTTGGCTTTACCAGATCAACCATTTATATACTGGAAGCAGGCCACACCCCCAAGGAAACTCCCCTTTCAACTGATTGGCTGTTCACATCAGATCACATCATAAGAGGTGATTATATTGTATTACAATATGGAAGAGCACCCAGTCCAGTGTCTGCCAAACCACTGAGAATCACAGCTGAGCCAAATTGGCCCATCACATGTACTATCACAGTGGCTTGGATATGAGTCTTGGCGGAAGATTCATTAACAACCTGCAATATGCAGATGATACAACTCTGGTTGCTGAAAGTGAGAATAATTTACTGATGAAGATTAAAGACTACAGTCTGCAGTATGGATTACACCTCAATATAAAGAAATCAAAAATCCGCACACCTGGTCCAATAAACAGCTTCACGATGGATGGAGAAAAGATTAGAGTTGTAAAGGACTTTATATTACTTGGTTCTACAGTCAACACCAATGGAAGCAGCAGTCAGGATATCAGGTGACGTATTGCATTGGGCAAATCTGTGACAAAAGATGTCTTTCAAGTGATGAAGAGCAAAGTTGTCTCCTTGAAGACTAAGGTGCGCCTAACCCAAGCCATGGTATTTTCAGTCGCATCTTATGCATGTAAGAGCTGGACAATGAACAAAGAAGACTGAAGAAGAGTTGATGCTTTTGTGTTGTGGTGTTGGAGAAGAATACTGAAAGTACCATGGTCTGCTAAAAGTACTAACAGATCTGTCCTGGAAGAAGTGCAGCCGGAATGGCCTTGGAAGCGAGAATGGCCAGACTTCCTCTCACCTACTTTGGTCATGTTGTCAGAAGGAACCATTCTCTGGAGAAGGATGTCATGCTTGGTAAAGTAGAGAGTCAATGAGGAAGAGGAAGGCCCTCAACGAGAGGGACTGACAGTGGCTACAACGACGGGCTCAGGTGTAGCAGGGGTCGTGAGGCTGGTGCAGGACTGGGCAGTGTTTTGTTCTGCTGTGCACAGGGTCTCTGTGAGTCAGAGACAACTCAGCAGCACCTAACAACAACATCACAGCGACTATGAGTCAAAATTGAGTTGATGGCACCCGGCAGCAACACACTTTACTTGACTAAGTGCTAAGTTCTGGTGATACAAAACCTAGTACAAGTTGTAGCCCTTCAAGAATACACATTCGTATGAGAAGGGAACCATCTAAGTACTAATTATAAAGCAGTAAAGTAACTAAAATTCTCATAGAGAAAGTAACACAGGCTTAAAACAATTTAAGACAGAATAGATACAAAGAAAGTCCTTTGAAAGTAGATCAGGACTAGTGTTATGGATTGAATTGTGTCCCAAAAAAAATGTGTGTTGTAAATCCTAGAACACCTGTGGATGAAATCCCATTTGGGAGTAAGTTTTTCTCTGTTGGGTTAACAGGCCATGTCAGTGTAGGGTGTTGTGGTGTAGTAAATCACCTGGTATGGCTTTTCTAGCCATAAGTCTTTGTAAACTCTGAGGTGGAATTTGCTGTGAGCGACTGAGGAGCTCCTGATTGTTAAAGTTACCCACCTGGGGTATTTCTGTTGCGAGTGCCAAAAAGTAATGTTGTGGGAAGTTCGCTCTCTCTCAGGTGCTTAGAATTCTGATGTTGGGATTGGTTAGTTTGGCCACTCTGCCAGGCTCAAAAGGAACCCTCCTAGAGACAGAAGGGGTCTCTCTGACTACTGGCTGAGAAAGACGTGCTGCTGAGAGACACACACTCCTGAGAGAGACACTGAGAGACATGCATTGCTGGGAGGGTGGCTGAGAGAGACTGTTGGCTGAGAGACGCCAGGCTGAGAGAGACTGAGCATTTTTCCTGAACTTGAATTGTAGCCTGTTTCTTCCCTAATAAACCCCAAAATCTGTGAGTTCTGTGTGGCCACTGCAGCGAGTTATCGAACCCAGTAGAAAGGTGGTGAGTGCTGCTGGAGGAACAGTTGGTGTCAGGGTTGGAGGGAGGCAGTATGTGTGGCCTTGAAGGGATAGGCCTTGGGCTACTGATGGTGATTCTGTCTTCCTCTTGTGGGGTTAGAAGAGGTCAGAAGATGTGGCTGCCCTGCCCCTTTGACAGGTCTTTGTAAAGCAAGTCACCTGTGAGATAGAAAAAGAGCAGATTGGGACAGGAAGACCCGCAGAGGTGGGGGAGGTAGATGCTACACCCCATGGAGAGCGCCAGGGAACCAAGAAACAGAAGCTGACAGCTGAGGCCCTTCCCTCAGAGCCTTAAGAGGGGGAAAGCCTCCCTTAGAGCTGGTGCCCTGAATTCAGACTTCTGGCCTCCTAAGCTGTGAGAGTAACCTTTCTGTTTGTTAATGCTACTACTTGTGGTTATTTCTGCTATCGTAGCTCCAGAGAAGTAGGACAATTAGTAAAAGGACATCCAGCTGATATCAAAACAAAACCCACAGCCATCAAGTCCATTCCAGCTCATGTAGGACAGAGTAGAACTTCCCCCATAGAGTTTCCAAGGCTGTAATCTTGGTGGAAGTAGACTGTCCATCTTTCTCCTCTGGAAAGACTGATGGGTTTGAACCGTGGACTTTTTAGTATGTTTAACCCAGTGCTTTAACCACTGTACCACCAGAGCTCCTTCATCTCTCTAACTCAAACTCACTGCCGTCGAGTGGGATCTGACTCATAGCGACCCCTCCTTGTGTTTCTGAGATGGTATCACTACAGAAGTAGATTGTCCAGTCTTCCTTCTGAGGACTGGCTGGTGGGTTTGAACTACCAGCCCCCTGGTTAGCAGTCAGATGCCTTAGGCACTACGCCACAGCAGGTAATAAGCGTATGAACTCAGGGACTGGTAAACCTGAGTGAACGGATTCAGGAAGGCTTTAGATAAGTTTAACAATGATGTATAACAGGACACCACAGGAAATTGGAGGTGGATTTGTAGTATTTCCCTCAACTTCTGTTGTTTTCCCTCAAAAACATCACTGTCAGAGACAAAATACTGCTGGATACGTCATGGACTGGTCTGAAATGGGGGATGGTAGAGCCTTACAAAGAAATTGGAGGTGGATTTGTAGTATTTCCCTCAACTTCTGTTGTTTTCCCTCAAAAACATCTCTGTCGGAGACAAAATACTGCTGGATATATCATGGACTGGTCTGAAATGGGGGATGGTACAGCCTTACAAAGAACACAAGGAGCTCTAGTGGCACAACAGTTAAGCCCATGGTTGCTAACCCAAGTGTTGGTGGTTCAAACCCACCCAGGGACTCTGTGGGAGAAAGACCTGTTGGCATTGATTCCAACTCATAGCAACCTTACACAACAGAGTAGAACTGTCCCATTGGTTCCAAAGCCCTGATCTTTACAGGAACAGATTACTAGGTCTTTTTGCTACAGAGCAGCTGGTGGGTTTGAGCTGCAGACCTTTCAGTTGCCCACCAAATGCTTAACCACTACACCATGAGGGCTCCTTGCTATAATGATTCCAGCCTAGAAAACCCTATGTAGCAGTTCTTCTCTGTCACATGGAGTCCAGGTGGACTGGACGGCATCTAACAACACCACCAACACAAAGAGCACATGGAGAATACGTTTTCCAGAGGGCTTTGAAATTGCCTATAATTTTGCATAAATGTATGTACTTCATTAGTACATGTTTTATGTATTTATGCTTTTGAGACTTTGTATTTGATAAACCATACAAAGTTAAGACATTCAGCTACTAACCGGAAGATTGGTGGTTCGAACCCACCAGCAGCTCCACAGGAGAAAGATGAGGCAGTCTGCTTCTATAAAGATTTAC